ACATATTTTCCAATGGTACATCTGATAAAGTGTTAATTTCCAAAATATATAAATAGCTTATACTACTCAACACCAAGAAGACAACCCAGTTAAAAATCAGGCAAAGGACCTGGATAGCGCGTCTCAAGCCGAGGACCCGGGAGAGGGGGCCGTGGAGGAGGAGGAAGAGCCCCTTCCGTCGGTGCCCGAGGAAGAGGAGGAGGAAGAGGAGGAGGAGGCGGCGGCGGCGGAGGCGCAGCCATTGCCGCCAGTCTGCGTGTCCCCCATGCGGGGCATGTGGCGGGAGGAGAAGGTGGCGCTCTTCTGCGACCAGGTGCTGCGGGGTTGTAAGGTGAGGATGGGAAGAAATCGGGCCAGAGTCCAGCGCGGGACCTTGTAGGGGCTTAGCAGGGGAAGTGGGTCCAGAGGGCACCAAGAAAACCTGCATTTCCAAAAAGTCAAATGGACTCAGCATTTATAGGTTTATACCTATTAGGTGTGCCCAGGCCCTAACCTAAAGGAGCAACTATTACATTTCCGGCAGACTGAAAATTCATCAGTTAAGGAGGCAGCTCTGGTAGTGTTTTCTTTTTTCCTAGAGCTTCTAAAAAATGAAGATAGACTTTATCAATGTGCAGGTATACATCTTAGTTGATTCATTTAATAGTTTGTGCACAAACATAAGGATGAGATTCCATTTGGTAGCCTTGGATTTTACACTACACTGAGATGCTAAGAATGTTTACAGCCTGAGAATGGTTCGCACACGTCAGTTGAGGGTGTGGAAAGATGTTTTGTATAGAACATAGATACGGTACCTGAGAATACTGAATAGAACAAATATTGTATGTTTCTGCTTTTTAAGCAGAAGAACTTATGTACCAAGATATTTATGGCAGTGATATTTGTAAAAATTAAAAATTAGAAACTGCCTTGGCCAGTGTGGCTCAGTTGGTTGGTGGTTGTCCCATGGAGGTCGCCAATTCCATTCTGTCAGGGCACACGCCTGCATTTCTGGCTCAATCCCTAATTGAGGGTGTGCAAGAAGCAGCAGACCTATGTTTCTCTTTCTCTCCCTCTCCTTTTCTCTCTAAAATTATATATATACATACATACGTACACACACACACACATATTTAATTAGAAACTAATTTCCAACTAGGGGGTCAATAAAGAACTTGTGGCTTCATATATAATAGAAAACCATGCACATGTAAAAATTATGTTTTCAAGAACTATAAATATGCTTATGCTATAATGTTAAGCAAAAAAAAATCAGGAGAAAAAACGCTGATTCATCTGTATGATGAATATATACATAGAAAAAAGACTGAAAGGAAATACACTAAAATATCACAATGGTTATATCCTGACTGCCAAGATTAGGGGTGATTTTTTCCCCTTATTTTCTGTATTTTTCAAATTTCCCTGTATCTTAACCATATTTTATAATTTGAAAAAAAATTTTATTTTTAAAAACACCTGTAAAACTAGGACAGTATTAATGATCAACTTTAATACTGAGTGTTGGAGAAGAGTATGTTTCTTAAAGGCATTGAAAGATGTTTATGTAAATTATTGTCACTAATTAAACATGGTCAAATGACTGAGTTTCATTTTAGCTTAGATTATCATCCTTGAGTAGCTGAATTTAATTAAAAAAATCAAATGGTAAAATATTTATTGAATGTTTAATATACTCATTTGCTATACAGAATGGAGTGCTATTTTAAATTTTTATGTACTTAATATATTTTAAATAGTTGTCATTACATCATTAAAATTCAGAAAAAAATAACTGTTTTTACATATGATAATTACTGTTTATATTTTCCATTAAATGTAGATTCAGTTCAAATCTATTATTTCCCAGGTTTTTCATTATTTAAGAGTATATTGAGTCCATTTTTAAAATAGAAATCAGTAAAAATATATATAAATCTTACCTATATATAATTTTACTTAAATATGTACTTTTTTCTTTTGCTAGGCAGAAGATGCTGATGAGGCTATGAGTAACTACCTATCAGAAAAATTAAAGTTGAAAGACAAATGGCTTGGAGTCTGGAAGACTAACCCTGAGTTATTCTTTCTGAAATATGAAGAAGCTTCTATCCCTTTTGTTGGTATACTAGTTGAGGTAAATACTTTTGACCTAATCTTTGTTCTTTTGAGTGAAATTATCAGTTCTTTTTAAGATCAAAATATGACCTTATTAACTTGGAGCTTTGAAATTTAAACAGAAGTTGGCAAAAGTTTACTTGTATTTTAAATTTCTAAGCAAATTAGTGTAAAAAGAAGGTAAGAGGGAATGTTAGCACCATTTCCTTATAGAAAGCTATCATTAAGTGTAACCTAATTTACAATACTAGATAGTATTTAGCCTAGTTTTAACTGCTCAAATAATGTAAAAATAATAAAAACCCATTTCTTAAAAATTAGTAATTTAGGCTTTCACAAATTTGGGGCTTTCACCATCATTTCCCTTCTTTATTTATCTCAATTATGATAGATAGATAGGAAAGAAAAAAAATGGGTCAGAAAACTACTGTTATAATTTGAAATTTTTTCTTATGAAAAGTACCTTTTAATATAATACATCAACTTTCAAGCCTTCATCTGGTAATATTTTGTTTTTCTATGCCTATAGGTTAACTATTGTGGCATATTTGATTCCCTTAAAGATCAATATCCCTGTATGTAAATTAACATTTACAATCACAAATGGTACTCCTGCCTCAGATTAGATATTTCAAATCTGTAGTTTTAATCATGAAAAAAACTTGTGTTTGCAACTCATAGCATTGCATACTACCTGAAAACAATTCTGTGTTCTATGGAAAAGTAAGTTACTGGTGTTTTTACAGATAAAGAACACCATATTTTCAAACAGAGACTGCCCTTGCCAAGTTGTATCAAGGCAGACTAACCCCACCACCAGAGTGCTGTGCGAAACTTCCCCTCCCCGCCCCCTCCGCAATGTCAGTGTAGACTACATGGGGAGCCTGGACTGCCACCTTGCCAGTAAGGAGAGACTCCTGTCATCCCTGCAAGGTGGTGTCAGAAAAGGGCAAGTGGAGAATCAGGACTTTCTCCCCCCTCCTCCCAGTGCTTTCGGGGGAGGCATGGGGGGAGCAGTACGAGGTGCTCTTCTCTCTCCCAGCCTGAGTGCTGGTATCAGTAGAGGCCTGATGGGGAACCTGAACTCCCACCTCTGAACAGCAGTAACAAAGAACACTCCCCTCCCCACCCCACCTGAAGAATCGGGACTTCCATCCCCACTAGGCAGTACCAAGGTGGCAACCCCCTTTTTGTGCCAGGTTGATGTCAGAAGAGGACTGATGAAAGATTTAAATAAGATCAAGAATCTACTAGCATAGTACCCAAAACGTCCAGGTTTCAATAGAAAATCATGTGTCATCACTTGTAAGAACCAGGGAGATCTTAACTGGGAGAAACAACAAGCACCAACACCCAGATGATGCAGATGTTAGAATTTTCTGACAAGGATTTGAAGTAGCCATCAAAGTAGGTGTCAGTGAGCGATTCTGAATGCACATGAAACAAATGAAATACCAGTCTCAGCAAAGGAACAAAGTCTCTGCAAACAAATGAAAGATACCCTGACTCTGGCTTCTCGAATACAGGCAGTAAGGCATATCCCTCCAGGCAGGAAAACCACAAGATTTTTCTATGAATCAGCTCAAAAGTAAAGATACGGATATATGGAGTTCCCATGGAAAGAAGCCTGGGTAGAACCTAAGAGTAGGAAAAAGATATTTTCAATTATGTGAGATCTCTCAAAAGTTATGTCCAATGTACCCCTCAGGAAGTTAATGGATGTTCAGTCAAGGAAGTAATCAAGAAATATGATGACATCTGATCCAAAATACAGAGAGGTCAACATAAGAGAGAAGCAAAGGGAATTCCCAGGATGATGGCGAAGAGGTAACAGCTATGCATGTAGCAGGTTTGAGAGCCAGTTCAGATTGGAACTGGTCAAAGAACTCTAGGAAAGAGTTCTTCAAGCAAATGAAACTGGTATTTCATTTGACACACACCTGTTGTTATTTTGAACATATTGAAAGGAGATGTATACAACTCAGGGAATTTGGGATTAAATTAATGAAAGGCTCTCAGAAAACAGCAAAAAAAAAAAAAAACCAACCCACAAAAAACTATTATTGACTCCTGAGAAACCAAGTTTGTTCAGGAAAGGAAAATGAATCAGTTTACACTGTATAGTTCACCTGTGAATGGCATTTTTAAACTTAAGGTAAATACTGAATACTAAGCTTTAATAACATTGATAGATGGAGGACCAGGAGAGTGTGGGTATATGTGATGGGGGTGGGGAAAAATGAATGAGACTAATAAGCCCAGTCAGCATGACTCAGTGGTTAAATGTCGACTTATGAACCAGGAGGTTACGGTTCGATGTCTAGTCAGGACACATGCTTGGGTTACAGGCTTGATTCCCAGGGGTGTGCAGGAGGCAGCAGATCAATGATTTTCTCTCATCATTGATGTTTCTTTCTCTCCCTCATCCTTTTCTGAAATCAATAAAAATATGTTAAAAAAAAGATGACTAAATTCTTTTAGAGTCAGGGGTCAATATATAATGCCAAAAACTGAAACAAAACAAAATTTAAGTGGCAATATAAGGATATTTTTTTAAAAAGAGGTAAATGTTTAAGTAATCAGCTAAAAGAATTACAAGTGTTTGTCTCTAAGGAATAAGAATTAGAGCAGTAGTTCTCAACCTTCCTAATGCCTTTAATACAGTTCCTCATGTTGAGGTGACCCCCCAACCATAAAATTATTTTGTTGCTACTTCATAACTGTAATTTTGCTACTGTTATGAATTGTCATGTAAATATCTGATATGCAGGATGTATTTTCATTGTTACAAATTGAACATAATTAAAGCATAGTGATTAATCACAAAAACAATATGTAATTATATATGTGTTTTCTGATGGTCTTAGGCGACCCATGTGAAAGGGTCGTTTGACCCCCAAAGGGTCGCGACCCACAGGTTGAGAACCGCTAAATTAGAGGGTGATGGGAGATTATAAAGAAATTGTATTTTTTATAACAAACCTAATACAGCCATTTGATTCTAAAATATATGCATATATAATACTGATTTAAGAAATAAAAACTAAAATTTTAAAATATTTATTTTAGGCAACTTGTACACCACACCAGAGCTCATCATCTTGTTTCAGAGTGACTGTTTCTGTTGCTGAGCCTTTTTCTTCTAATATTGCAAATATTCCAAGGAATTTGGTTAATGAGGTTTTAGAAGAACTAGAGCATAGTGTGCCTCTCTTGGAAGTGTACCCTGTTGAAGGACAAGATTCTGATATACATGATATTGCTTTGGCCTTGGAAGTTGTAAGGTATTAGAGTTTTTACTTCTGAAAGTTAAAATGATCATATCCAACATTTTAGTTTAACATGTAAATTTTGTTCATACAAGCACTTTGTGAATATTTATTGATTTAATTTTACTTAATTCAATTTATCTTTAATGAACATATTTGTAACTCTTAGTTAAAACATTCTCTTTTGAAGTATTATATACAGACAATAAACGTTTGCTATTTTCAACTTTGCATTTTACAAAAATTGAATTAAAGAATTCTGGCCAATAAGTAATAATTTTTGTTCATATTTAAACATCTTAAATACATCAGATTTCATTTTTTCACATTTAAGGGCATTACAAATACTCAATGTCATTCCCATTATGATTGCTTCTTTCAAGTCTGGTACAATTTGAGAGAAGACATCCATAAACTTACTATAGATGGGGGCATATTTCTGTTTTTCTAATGCTTTCCTGCTTTCAATATACAAATCTGATGATATCTTAAGTGTTACTTTATTTTGGTGAATAAAATAACCCAAATCTATGAAATCTGAAGCCTGAAATTTATAATTCCATTTCAAGCAACATTATCTTATCTGTAGCAACCTAAAATAGAATCCAGATAATCAAATTTTTAAAGTTTACCTTTAATAGTAGTTCATTGAAAGGTCATTTAAAAACATTTTTCTGCCCTGGCAGTGTGGCTCACTTGGTTGGAGCATCCTCCTGTATACTTACGGGTGTCAGGTTCCATTCCCTATCAGGGCACATGCTTAATACACCAATTGATGTATGTTTCTTTCTCTCTCTCTCTCTCTCCCTCCCTCCACCCCTTTCCTATCTCTCTCTCCCCATTCCTTGATCCCCCTCCCCTGCCTTTCTCTAAAATCAATAAAAAGCATGTCCTTGAATGAGGAAAAATATTTTTTTCTTAACAGATAAAATTCATGTAAAGAATTTTTATATCAGAATGCCTTAATTCTAAATGTGGTACTCACTGTTTTTGATCACTTTCATCTTGATTTATCTTAGGTTTTTTTATGACTTTCTCTGGAGAGACTGGGATGATGAAGAACGTTGTGACAATTATACTGCTTTGATTGAAGAAAGAATTAATTTGTAAGTATACTTACTTGTTCAGGCCCTAGGCGGCTTGGCTCAGTGGATAGAACATCGGCCTTCGGACTGAAGGGTCCAGAGTTCGATTCCGGTCAAGGGCATATGCCTGGGTTGTGGGCTCAATCCCCAGTAGGGGGCGAGCAGGAGGCAGCTGATCAATGATTCTCTCTCATCATTGATGTTTGTATATCTCTCTCCCTCTCCCTTTCTCTCTGAAATCAATAAAAATCTAAAAAAAAAAAATCTAAAAAACAACTTGTCCAGCACATTATATAAGATAAGCATTGTAATTATACTGATACTTTTCAGGTGGTGTGATATACAAGATGGAACAATACCTGGTCCTATCGCACAACGTTTCAAAAAAACTTTGGAGAAATATAAAAACAAGCGTGTCGAGCTCATTGAGTATCAGAACAATATTAAAGAGGATCCCTCTGCAGCAGAGGCTGTTGAATGCTGGAAAAAATACTACGAGATAGTAATGCTCTGTGAATTATTGAAAATGTGGGAAGATTTACGCCTCCGGTAATACTTTGCTCTATTTTATTTTATTCTATTTTAATGTTTTTTATTTTAGAGAGAGGAAGGGAGAGGGATAGAGAAACAGAAACATAGATGAGAGAGAATCATTGATTGGCTGCCTGCTGGGGGAAAGAGAGAGCCATCGGTGATGACAGAATCACTCTGTCATCCCGTACACTCCCTATTGGGGAGTGAGCCCAAAACCTGGGCATGTGCCTGACCAGGAATCGAACCCTGATCTCCTGGTTCATAGGTCGATATTCAACCACTGAGCAACACTGGCCAGGCAGTTCGCTGTATTTTAAATGGAAACAATTTGGCTGCCTCATAATTTCTGCTTTTCGAACCAACGTAAGTGGATAAGTTGTTTTTGATGATAAATAAAACAATGCAGAGTTAACCAGTGCCATTCTCACTTCCAAATGTGTTTAAATATTTTTACATGGTTATGCAGCAAAATATATATTTTTGTCTTTTCTGACTTTGTTTTTAAAAGAGGGGAAACAGGAATTCTTGCTCATAGTCTCCAAATTCATAGAAAATCTTAAATGGAGTCAAAGAATTTCTATTTCATACAAAATTGTTAAACCCCTTTTTTTGTGTTCTACCTTTACTCATTCTTTGCCTTAGGAATTCTGAGCAACATTTTACTTAGTGAGCCTAAATCTTTCCTTTTGTATTTTCTCTCAAATTTGACCTGTTTTATAATCACTAAGAATCCCATCCCAGTGTTTATTTTTGATGTTTCCTTGTTATTGGGATTCCTGTGTAAAAAAACCTTGGGGTTACTTTGGGAAAGCAATATGGATATGATTTTTGAAATCCACTTATCTAGAAAAGCAGCTTTAACAAAAGGTGAATTTGAATACAAGTTATCATCACTAGACTTTAGATACCAAGGGCACAGGGCAACCCAGAGTTCTCTCATCTGAAAAATTATATAATCACATAGAATCTAATTCTCTGAGCGGTGGAGTGAGTTAATTGATCAAACCCTTCCATAGATAATTATAAAATCAGGACAAAATTTATTAAAGGTATTCAACTATTTTAAGGCACTATGAAATGACCAAAAGCAGGCAGCAACCAGAAAAGTTTATCCTTGAAATGGATTTATCCTTGGAATGGGTAAAAAATTGAAATTTGTGGCTTTTTGGTGTGAGGGTAATCACCAATTCTCATAGCTCTGGCAGCAAAAAGTGCACCGTGTTTGAAAATGACAAAGGAGAGAGTTTGAAGGCGAGCAGAGCACCTGGAGACTCAGGTGGGGTGCCCAGAAAATAAAAGAGGTGCCAAAGGGGATCCACAAATTGAGCATAAACTCTGCCATTTCAAATTCTTGGTTGACCTCTAGACTATGCTAGCATTGGTGAGGCAGAGAAATGCTAAAGAAAGGAAACTGGAAATTGAGAAAACCAAGCAGAGATTCCAGCTGCTGTATACCTCAAAGGAAAAAGTTTGCATTCTGGGACCAGGCAAGTTAAAACTGCCTCGTACATAGAATACAAGAGTAACAATCCTCAGAAAAACAACACAATCCAGAGTTACTGAAATATATTATCCCAAATCTCTAGTTCAACCAAAAATTAATAGACATGCAATGAAACCAGAATGTTAACTCATACTCGG